ATATATATATATATATATATATATATATATATATACATACATATATATATATATATATATATTATATATGTATGTATATATATATAGATATATAAATCCTGTTTATTTTAAATGCCAGATATAATTCTAAAAATTAAAAACTGTAATTCAAGTATAATATCTAACTATAGTAACATTACGATTACCACACACACACACACACATACACACACACACATATATATATATATATAATTTAAAGTACATAACGGTCAGTCTATACTCAGCGCCTGAAGATTGCGTTGTGCATGAAACTTCGAGTCGAATCCTACTATCGGTGAGATATAATATATATATATATATATATATATATATATATATGTGTGTGTGTGTGTGTGTTATTTTTAGATAGAATGTATCAGTAAAGGAACAAAAAGAATAAAAAGACAAGAGGAAAACTACTCTTAGCCAACGCGTTTTGTCCTCTACAGAACTTTATCTAGGCAAATAGTTAGAACAGCTGTGAGAATAAAAAATTTAGAAGCAGACATATAAATAAAATACATTGAAAACACTGTTCCTCACAATGTATTGGCGAAACATGTTGAAATTAAAAAAAATAAACGTATTAATGAACACAAAAGTGACCTTAAACATAACAATTTATTAACTGCACGAGGCGCACACAAATAAATTCAACCCTAATTTTGATGTAAAAAATCAGAAGAGAAAGTAATTTACTCAAAAGGGAAATTCTCCAGAGTGCCGCTATCGAATCTTATCGAAATATAAATCTACGCCCTACTTTCTTTCCAATGTTTTCTGAAAGAATTACTATTTTCTCAAGACAATATAAACGACTACAGAAAAGTTGAAAAATCAAAAGAAAACGTTTAAATCCATTACCTCATGTTTTCGAAGATGTATTGCACATACGTCCATCCAAAACCATAACAATCTGATCACAAATTCAACAATATGCAACATATACGGGTGTGACCCTCAAAAACGGGAACTTTTTAACAATCCAATAAAACCAAGAGTGATGGAAGAAAAATATTTTATTTGTAGTAATTGAAACCTTAAATCATGCCATTTAAGAAACTATGATGAAATTTTCATTTTTTAAAATTACGTCTTGTAGATGGCGTCCTCCTGTACGAATGCATTCTTGGAATCTGCTGTTGAAATTCCTCATTGACTGCTGCAACATCTCAGCTAGGATACTGTGTTTACACAATTCGACCAAGAACTCTGGATTAGTTAAAACAGAGAATTTAAGATGAAATTCACAGTATCCCAGGTGAGATGTTGCAGCAGTCACTGTTTTTAAACTTTAATCTTCCATGAAAAACATAAAAAAACAGTAAAATCAACCTTGCTAATCGAATATTTCTCCGTGGCTCGATCGGATAAGGCACGTTAGGCAAAATGAGGGTTCCGTATAGCATACAGGTTTGATGCCTGTCGGAGGACGAATATTTTCTATGAAAATTTCTCGGACATTCAGGCTGGTAAATGTTTATATTGTTTATTATAAAAAATAGCATTTACTTAAATATTTGTATTTATAAAAAGAATGTATAAACATAAAAATGTCTTAAAATAATTGTCGGACTTTGTCCATTTCATAATATATATATATATATATATATATATATATATATATATATATATATATATATATAGATTGTTAAGCAAATGATTCATATGAAAGGAAATTTTTCTTGCCATTACTTACCTGTTATGTCGGACTGTTTGTTGAGAATATGGGTCTTTCCATGTGATGGAGCTAAGATGGAAAAAAGACCAGCATGCTTTTTTTGTATCGTCTTGGCTGAGGAGGAAGTGACGTAAGTCGTTAATGATTCGTCGCTTGTTATTTCAAGATCATCAGTGGCAGTTACTTAATGTGCCCATTTGTTGCGTGCTTGGCAGATTTTTTGCTTCAGGGTCGCCTGCCAGAATAGAATAGAATAGTTCCGGTAGGGTCTATTGGGCGAACAATTATGATGTTACAAGACCCGAAACTTGTCATGACCCCAAGTCATAACCATCACTGACGAGGTGATCCTGTGCACTGGTTGAAGTGTTTTCATGACATATATATATATATATATATATATATATATATATTATTGCAGAACACTTAACAGTGGCTGCCGTCTCATTAATTAGACATTGAATTAGTTGTCAACTGGTAACTGGGAACATCCTCTAAAGTGGTCCTTTATCCTATATTTGTAGAGCTAGAAGCATTATGTGACATACGAATGAGGTCACCTTACCAGGATTTATGGGATCGAATTGAATTTAGTTCATGTATCTTTCGAGATCCGGGCGTAAAAAAAGTCAGGGATATGATGCTTATTTTGGGAGTAAGACACTAATTTTTCTCCCCAAATATGCATTCACATCACAGCCTGTTCTACCATGATTACTCATAAATAAACACATGCATGAGTGAGCCAACTACTTACTACATTAACTGCACAGGTAGGATTATCCAAACCCCGGTAGAATCACTGCTAATCAGTTATTTCCGATATTGCTTTTACACCTGTCTTTGTCTGATTCTGCAGAGTTACTGACATGAATCTCCTGGCATCTAAAGTCTTCGTTTCACTTTTGAACTTTGCAATAACCTCACCTCTTGGTCAAGCAATGAATTTTAATCCGGGCAATTGTTTATGCAATGAACCAATACTCGAACCCAGTGAATGAATGAATCCCATTTCCCGCCACGAATTAATGACTTGTATAATTTGCTTTCCATCTACTTTTGTCTTCATTTTCTGCTCGAATACCGAGTTGCAACCTACCGAGCGATTTGCAAGCATTTCGTCTCCTTAGTATTAAATCACGATGGGAATCTCTTAAATAACCGGTTTATAATAATAAAACGAGGGGAAGAGAAACAAAAGCAATTTCTAACGAGCCGGAAATCAAACCTGAGGAACCAGGTTCAAATTCTTCTTTCTTTTTGTTACATTATTTCTCTAATTTGATAAACGAACGCTACATTAATTAGCAGGCAAAACGCAATTGTCAAAACGAATTTAACGTAGACTGTTTTTCCTGTCGTGTTTCTTATCAATCGCCAAACCTCTTGATAAAATCAAATTTAATCGCTGGCATTGTACGATGATTTTGCAGTTAAAGGAGTGCATGCGTGAGCGTTTGGAAAAAAGCCAGGTAGACATTTTGTTATATGACAGACCGCAGGGAACACCGGTTTCCATACGCTCACCGAAGTTAAGTGACGTCAATCAGAAGCTAGATGGGTGACCACTTGTGAATACCAGGTGCTGTAAGCTTGGATTTGTGGATGGTGTAATTAATAAGGGCTCAAAATTGTTAATCGGAGAGCCGAGTTCAAGTTCCCGTATATATACTTTCGTTCAAAAACCCTTAGGAATGGTATGAATCCACAACTTACCCCAGCTATGGGTTAATTACTAAGACTTGTATCATTGAATCATTAATATCTCTAAAACATAAAATAAAAATTTACTTACAAAATATTTGGATTTCTCTATTAAATAACCCATAGAGGCTAAACAAAGAAAAAAAACTGTGGTCATCGTCTTCTTTGGGGAAAATCTCAGTTTTGTTTTACGAATGCTAAATCTTGCGCAGTTCTGCACAAGTCGCATAACTTTTCAACTCAACAATGTACAGGTGATAAGTGAGTCAATTCTTCTATACAATTCTGTACAATTATAATTCACAAAATATATAAAAAAATGATTATTTTCAAGATGAAATATCTGCAATCTATTTCAGGAGAAAATCAGTAAAAACCTGTTAAAAAAAGAGAAATTTAATGATTTCGTTTTTGATAATACGCGAAGTATCATTTCTGTTGATTCTGCCATATAAACCGAGGGATAACATCTCATTTGATTTGTTTCAACCATATTTTAAAAGTCATTGTAATCCAATTTGACATAACCAGAGGAGATAAAAAGAAAACAAAATGCAAGTAAACACGTTCTTTCATGTAATAATCAAATTGAATTTATTTACATACAAACCTTATTTACAATAGTAATAATAAATTTAATTGTGTTTAACATAAAATAAAATAAAATTCACTATTCCTCTAGAAAATTGAGAAAGAAATAAAAAATGTGAAAATAAGATTAGCAATACGTATACACAAAGCTTTTAATCTAAAAAGGTTTTAACTTAAAATTGAATTTATATCATCGTTTTATAATTTGATTTCCTTTTAAGTTTTTGGTACGAATTTCCGACCATGACAACGAGCAAAAATAAAACCCACTCATATCGAAAATCAAGAGCAGAAACTAATCGATAAAAACACTTGTGACAAGGGTTAAAGTTTATGTTAAATGTCTGGATTAAAAAAAATAATAATTTAATTTCTTTCATCGTCACGTTTGATGTCCGGATTGTTTCAAATGAAGATTTCCAATTAATAGTTTCCGAAAATATATACATATATATATATATATTTTGCAGATCAATTTAACTGAGGAACACTCAATTTTTCGTAATTGCCATCTTTTCAACAAACCGTCTTTCTGTAGCTTCTTCACAAAAGAGAAAAGAGAGAAGGCTTTTGGAATGAGCATGTCAATCTCCATGGTTGATATGTTTTTCAACGATGGCGTGAATCACTTTTGGAAGTACATCGCAAACCATTGCTATTTCTTTATAAACGTGACCGGGGTCATTCAAAATTGTTGGTCTGCATTTGATATCAAAGTACATTGGTTGATGGGTTCGTTTTCAACGGCTTATCAACCCTTTGCAGGTTATTTAAAGCCAGATGTTTTTTAGATTATAAGAATAATTTTTTTTTAGAGATAATAATGTTTTAGTGATACAAGTCTTACTAATTAACCCATAGCTGGGGGGAGAAGAGGTGGATTTATACCTTTCCCAAGGGTATTTTCGCGTAAGTTAATATAACGAACCAAACTGGATTTGGAACTCGTCTCTCCGATTAACAATTCCAAACGATTATCCATTACCCAACCTGCACATCCAAGCTTACAGCACCTCCTATTCTCAGGTGGTCACCGATTTAGGTACTGACCAGGCTCGACGTTGCTTAACTTTAGTGATCATACAGGAACTAGTGTTTCAACGTGATATGGCTGTAAACCACATTGAATAATGAAGTAAGAATATGTGTCAAAATCGTTTCAGGATCCTTTATTATGGTACCAATAAAATTATTTTTGCTTATATACAGACACATATATCGTTTTAATATATTTCATTGTTATACGTTATTTATGTATACACAAATATTTAAGTAAGTATATTAAAGCCCGACAATTAATTTAATATATTTTATTGTTATAATTTATTTATATATACAGAAATATTTAAATAAGTAGTATTAACAACATTTACCGGCCTGAACGTACGAGAAACTTCATAGAAAATATGCGTCTTCTGACAGGAATCGAACCTGTATCCTATACGGTACTGTTATCTAGCCTGACGTGTTATACCAGTTTATATATATTTTCTATGAAGTTTGTTCGACGTTCAGGCCAGTAAATGTTGTTAAAACTGTTTATTATAAACAGAACATTTATCTAAATATTTGTGTATATATAAATGATGTATAACAATAAAATATATTAAAATAAATCGTTTTGAAATTGTAAGCCGACGTGAGTGACTGTCAAGGTTTGAAACTAAGTAGAGATTCTATATGAATAACATTAATCATTACTGTGATCATCAACTATATCATGCTGAAATTGATGACATTCTACACAGGTGACTTTGATCCGTTTTGAATTTTATATTAACATCAAGTGTTTCGACAGGGCCATAAATTACTGTTTCTAATACACCACCATAGCAATTATTTGAAAGAGCTGGACTTTCTTTCTTGAATAGGATGAAACAAAGGGATTTCGTTTGTATGCAAGTTACAAATGTGAAAAAAGCATTCTACGCTTCATTTTGTCTTGTTGGTAATATATAATTCCACCTTGGTAACCAGTGTTTGTGGGTGTGGAATCAGCTCTTATAAAAGAATATTATTATCCAAATTGTATTCAATGAGACAATTCTTAACTGCGTTAGCGATCAACCAATCATCTTTTGTTTTTCGTGTCATATGACTAAGGTACACGTTTCCAGGTTGACCAACAAGTGTCACATGTTTCTCACATTGCGTAGAAGGAAAGCGACGTCCATTTTCACCACGAAGCCTTACGTCCTTGATCTCAGGTTTCCCGTCAAACATCAAAAAGTTTATGGATTCCTCTTCATTGATTTGCAAATAATTAGAAAAATAAAAAAAATAAAAAAAAAACACGGTCAATTTCATACATTTAAAATAGACAATCATTTTTAATATCAGGTATAAAAAATGTTATAAAAATGTCTTTAAAATGAAAAAAATGAAGGATCGTGATTACCTGAAATTTCTTTAAGCAGTAATTAATTTCTAGACGAATCTTTGTTTTGTAAAATATTTGATGCATTATGCTCTGTAAATAACGCCCGTATCAATTAGAGTTTCTGTGGCCAAGACTGTCATCGTTGGGCGAGATTTTTTTCAACAAATTCAGTTTTGTGTCTCTGATTGATTGTCTCTATCTGTCGCCACATGATTAAATTCCGGAGAATGTCTGTCATATTCAGCATCATCCGTGTTAGTAGAAATTTAGTTCATCCGGAGAACTCTCATCATCCTCAACAATTGGTTGATTACGCCTCAGGTTCACCTTTGATGTCTTTTTCCTTTAGTAACTCAACTCTACAAGTTTGTTTTCGTTCACCTCTGTTTTCGTTTATAAATCCCCCCCCGCAAAATACATTCACTTAACAGCTCAAGAATAAAAGATCCAGTGGATAAAAGCGTTGATTGAAGCAATCTAGTGACTTGACCTAAAGAGTTGTGAGAAAAATACCTGGCCACGGTAGAGGTGAACAAAAAATTGGAGCTACTAAAGGAAGATAACTGAAACTGAGATATCCAGAAAAGGCATGGCATGTGGAACTAGAAAAATCCATCCCCGGTGGACGAAATAAAGTGTTCGATTCGAAATTCTAACGTATGAAGAAGGCCGGAGAGTACAACGGCCGAAACATCGTGAATATGACAATAAAGATGAAGACAACAGTCTGAACAATGTAAATAGTGTCATTAGACACGATGGTGTAGGAAAATATATGCATTAGCCGATATACTAATATAAACTTCGACATCGAGAAAAATGGAAGGAACACAGAGAGTGAAATATTTAAGTGCTCTGGGAATTCATTGTGCATAACAACATAAATTTACAAGTCAATAGACCAGATATACGAATAATAATAGTAACAATACTACACCATAAATTATGGCCACCCCATCTCATCCAAAGAATTTGCAAACTTTTCGGAATTTAAAGCTCTGGAAATTGAAATTGCAAGAATGTGGTATTTAAGCACAGTTACTATTCCGGGGATGCTCCGTGGGGTGTAACGGATATGGGTTCAGAATTCCAGTCAGGTTCATTACAGTTAGGGGAGGTATACATTTGTCTCTACTTCCCTCGGCTATGCGTCAGTAACAGGAGAGACTAATCGCAGAAAAAAATTGGCAACCTACTAAGAAATAATTTTCGGCCTGGTCAGTCATGAACCAAAACGGATATGATCGCCCAACCATGTATCACGTATAGAATTTAACTGACTGACTGGTCATTCCAGTAATAATAGGAGCACTAGGAATGATTAAAAAGAAAATGTGCTCCTAGGTACTGACCACATACAGTGTTGTGTCTCAGTTTAACATACTCAATGACTTTAAAGAAATACCTTCAGATTTCAGTTGAAAGACTTGGTAAAGGATTTTTTATCAAGCAAACGAAAATAATAATAAAAATAAAAAAATGCCGTTCACTTTTGAAGTGTTTTCCTGCACTTAGGATGAAAAAGAAAGCTTACAAACACGTAAAAATGTTTCCCGCTGCAATCAAATTGTGATATAATGTCGTTTAAAGATTTTTTCACGTTTTATTGTTTTAACGCGAAAAGCAGGAACAGGCATTGACACGTGAAAATATCGTTCTTGTATGGAAAAAAAGGTGACAGCGGCCGTTCATTGGCTTTTGGTGAAAGATTTTAGTTGAGGTAACTTAAACAATATCAATAATAATAATAATAATAATAATAATAATAATAATAATAATTATTATTATAATTATTATTAACTAAAAGAAATCCCAAAAGATTACTTCAAAACTTCGAGTCGCTTCGCAGAATACATTGATTGGAACCAGTCTTTGGCTTCTGGCAATGCCGGGCGCGATTTCATGACAGCAATCACGTGATTCTAAGGTGTCTTCTGCATGTGATGTAAAACCAAATGATGGCTATCCCTTCTCATTTTATCTGTACGTTAGATAATGTAGGGAGTTTGAAATAAAAAAAAAATCGCCCAGTGATCTAGATAAGTAAATATCAGCAGCAACCATTTCATGGAATATATATATATATATATATATATATATATATATATATATATATATATATATATATATATATATATATATATATATATATATATACACGTTTCATTAAAGACAACAGACAAGGTACTACGATAAAGCTTTTTATTTAATTTACTTGTGTTCGAATAAGTGTTTTCTTTTCAGGACATAGAATTTGTAGAATCTGTCCAAATGTTTTGTAATTCCGGGCTATACTTTTAGCCATTATCAAGGGTGATTTTATTTTTGATTTTTAACTGGGTGTGTGGGTTGTGTGCATGTTTCTATACTTATAGGGATGTTTTTATTTTCCGAACACGGTCAGCACATTGTGGCCGTGTTCGTAGTTAATATTATTAAGTCTTGGATTTTTCTTTTTTATTATTAAGACTTCCATTATTCTTAATCTTTTTTTACATGTGGATGAAGTTATTATACTTTCTACTAGTATGTTTCGGATGGAGTCTGCTAAATTTGTGTGTGTGTGTTTAAATGGGTAAGGTGTGTGGATAGGCATGTAGTATATATATATATATATATATATATAAAGAAATAAAGTTTTAAGGTGTGTTATATTTATGGGATAAAGTACTCAATATCAGAGAGAGAGAGAGAGAGAGAGAGAGAGAGAGAGAGAGAGAGAGAGAGCGAGAGAGAGAGAGAGAGAGCGAGAGACAGAGCATATGTAAATATAAATATAAAAGTGAATATTGATGTCATCATTCGGAGGCGATTTTTTCCTATGTTAATAAAACACCAAAAACCGAAAAGAACAAATAAATTAACCCAAATAAATAAATAAATAAACAAACAAACAAAGCAACTCCCCAAAAATAACCGCCAGAATAGATTACCCACAATGCACCACTGACCCATATATATAAATAGTCGAGAAAAAAACCCAACATTCGCGGCCTGACGATTGCGTCTAGCATAAAACAGACTGTCGCCTATATATATAAAACTGATTTCATCAATGAAACCGTTGTCTTAAGAAGTCATTATATACACTACATGCCTATCCAGACACCTTACGTGACACCTATCCGACCATGAAGAAGCTTTGAAGATCAAGCAAGTTCCAAGCACTGCTTTTAAGTCGTAAAGGCACGTCGGATCGTTAAGGCACTTTGCTAATACTTTTCCGAGTATGGCCGTATTCTAGTAAAACTAGTCAATTCTTGTTGCAGGCATATTTGAATGTGTGTCCAACCCTCGGTTTTGGAAGTTTGACGGCTTCTGAGTAGTTCCGTCAGCCCAATATCACCAACAAGGATTAGGTCAACTGGTGGTATCATTTTCAACAACTTTCAAAAGGTGCCGAACGCTGACAATATCAAGAAGATACCTTTCTGGTAAATCGAATATATATATATATATATATATATATATATATATATATATATATATATATATATATATACGTTTTTGTTAGAGATACAATCTTCTAAAGGACATTTAAACTGATAGACGATATGGATCTTTTGCAAAACATTAGTCAACGGAGAAGAGTTATTGCGGATGACGACGACACGATCAAGAAGGCTTATTTTACACATGTCAGATTAAAGTTCCCTTGCGCAACGCTTAAAAGAGAAATATTGACAATACAAGTATACTCCACCATGAAAATAAAAAAAACAAAATCTTTAAATTCTCTAAATAAAATTAGCAACACTTCGTATATATATATATATATATATATATATATATATATATATATATATATATATATTTGAAAAGTGAATATAAATATAAATAAATATATATATATGTATAATTATTTATATATTATATGCGCGGTACTTATTAGAAAGCGCTCAATATCAGAGATAGAGCTAACATATTTGGTTGGATAGATGTGAGTTTGTGACCCTGGGTTTCACGCTTTAGCGATCGTCAGACAAACTGATTACTGTTTAAAAAATTTGGGTTTATGTAGATTGCGTGTATTGGTGTTATTGTGGAAGTGGTGGGGGAGATTTCGTCGTTTTGTCATTCATCGTACAAACGCAAACATCGATGTATGCAGACACATATACATATACATACTTGGTCGTCCGTCGGGACTCATACATATATATAAACATATGTAGACAGTTTCGGCTATGACACATGTATGTATACGGGTGGTGTTATGTCTATACATACGCATTTGTATGTTGAAATGTTGAAATTTAAACATTGGAAGTGTGGCGGAAATGTCTCGTTATTGTCTCGTGAATGTATCCATGTCATATTATGAAATATAACATTCACTTCCTTCTCTTCTAAATTATATCCAGATTTGTACGAAGCTGTGTAATATCGTATGATTTGGGATCAAATATTTTGTTTTTGCTGCTGCTGTTGTTGCTGTTGTTCTTGCTTTTCTTCTACTCAGTGAGAAAGAGAGCAGCTCGTCGCCAAAGCTGACGCTGCAGTAGAACTATACGAATCCGTATATTCCCATCATGACAACCAGGCATATGCATCACAGCCAAATATGTGTATTAAGTTGGCAGGTTTTGTTAAAAGGATGCAGGTGGAGCCTATTTAGAAATACCTTCAGGTCGCGTTACCCAGTCTACTTATACGTTTTTTCGATTGAGGGTGCGCTGGAGTATCTAGATATGACTCTTAAGTCACCTTAACTGCTTCATCCTTCAAAACCTTAAATGAATCCAGCCATCTTGAAACCTATCCAGAGGTTTTCCCCAAATAATCCCACTCATGAGCAGAGATACACAGTGGATCACCACCTAGGAGACTTTTTTCTAATCAATTCACCCCAAGCAAGGCGATAATGCCACCAAGATGCAAGGGGCTACTGCGAGCGAAAGAGAAAGAGAAGACTTTAGAAGGAACTGGAAACCCAATCTTGAACATGAAACAAGAGATAAACATCTACACCTGTTAAAAAGAATAGGGAGGAGTATGAACAGGGCAATAGACGAACCTATCTATTAAGGAGAAAAAAGAATATAAATAAATAATTAATATAAAATTTTAAAGTTCGGGCAGAGACACTAGAAGTATAGTTTTGAAGTAGACTTTAGAAGGAACCGGAAACCCAATCAAACAGGAAGCAAGAGAAAAAAAAAATTCCTGTTCAAAACACCGAGTAGGAAGGCGAATCTGACGATAGATAAGCTTGTCTATCGTTAGATTCGCCTTCCTACTCGGTGTAGACAAGCCTATCTACTCCTATTGAGGCAATATAGAAAAACTAAAGTAAATAATATTACAGAGTTTAGGCGGAGACGGCAGAAGTATAGAGTTGAAGTAGACATTAGAAGGAACCGGAAACCCATTCTTGAACAGGAAACAAGGGAAAAACCTCTATTTTGTTCAAAAGAACGAGGAGGAGTATGAACCGAACAACAGGTGACCTAACGATTCAATCGAGGAAAACTTTTTTTCTCGTCTCGATTTATTATACGAGGGGCAATCGTGGTAGCATCTTTTCTTGAGGAAGCGTTAAGGAAATGATGAGGGGAATGCAGGTCGACTACTTAGCTAGAATTTCACCACGTGATGGCTAGCATCACTGAGGAATCTAAGTCCAGGAGCCGTGTCTGTTCTTAACATTCTTGTGGTCGTCTCCCTGTCTACGCACCGTTTTGGAGTTATATCCACAACGTAAACAAAGGCAATCCATCACTGCCAGAATTCTACGGTCACGAAGTCTTCCTGCCAGTAGTTTCCCAGTTCTACCCAGCATACAGATTCTGCATCAAAATGGTAAAGGTCAAAAATGTCAAGGGATCTTAGATTTTAGGAGTCTTGAATTGGGAGGGTGGGGCCGGTCTTATTTACTATAAAATACGGTATTTCAGTTATCACCGGAGTAAATTAAGAAAAAGAAAAGAAAAAAGAAGAAGAAAAGAAAAGAAAAGAAAAGAAAAGAAACGATAAGCTGTAAAAGAGGAGACAAGCGTGGGGATTATTGAATAAAGAAGAGAGAGAAAAAGAAAATAAAGAAGGAAAGAGGTAGAGGAAAGATGACTGAATAATAGTGGTTGGAAAAGGAGAATCGACAGAGAAAGAAACGCTGAAAGGGAAGAGGAAATAAAAGAGGAAAATGATCAAGAGAAGAACTGGGAGTAAAGAAAGATAATTGACAGGAAAAAAGCAAAGAGAGAGAGAGAGAGAGAGAGAGAGTCGAAGGAAGAGTGATGGAAAGAAAGAAAGATAGGTAGTAGGAGTAGATGGAGACAGGAAGATAAACGGAAAGAAAATCGATGAGAAATAGTAGAAGAAAAAAATAATAAAATTCGAGAGAAGAAGAAAAAGAAACATGCTTTCCAGAGAGAGAGAGAGAGGGAGAGAGAGAGAGAGTGAAAAGAAGAAGAAGAAGAAGAAGAAGAAGAAGAAGAAGAAGAAGAAGAAAGGCGGAATTTGTGGGGAAAAGAAACTCAAAAAAGAAAGAAAAGATAATCGAAAGTATGTGCCAAGGAAAGAACAATGAATGCAATGGAAGAAGGAGGAGCGTAAGGAAGAGGAGGTGGGAGTGGAGAAAAAGTAAAAAAAAAGAAAATAGAGATCTGCGAGAATAACAGGGAAATATATTAAAATGAGTAAAAAAGAATGAAAATAAAGAAGAAGACAAAGAAAACAAAATCTCAACAAAAACTTTATATTAAACTAGAAGAATTATTTTAATAGAAAGATTTTATAAAAAAAAATAGATGTCTACATTTTTACGCTAGTGTAAAAAAATACCTATGTTTGGCTTTTTGACGCTAATGTAAAACGAATCTATTTCTACCACTTTGAGATGAAGTGTAAAACAACAACTTTTTGATTGGTGTTTAACGAATATGTGTCTAGCCTTTTGACACTAAACGGACTCGTGTCTAGCTTTTTAACTGATGTAAAGAACCTGTCTCGTCTTTTGACGCTAGTATTAAATGGATTCGTGTCTAGCTTTTTAACTGACGTAAAGAACCTGTGTCTAGCCTTTTGACCTTAGTACTAAACGGACTCTTGTCTAGCTATTTAACTGACGTAAAGGACCTGTATCTAGCTTTTAGTCACTAGTATTAAACGGACTCATGACTAACTTTTAAACTGTCTACAAACAGTCTGTCTTGACACAGTAACACATGAGGTACTATTCATAACCCTTTTAATTTCTGTGCAAGACTTAAAACGGTCCTTTAATGACATACGCTGCATTATTCGATTTCTCTTGCCGAAGTTTTGCGGGGTCTGCCGGTTTTAAAAGCACTAACTATTTTGCCAGTATTATTGTAGGATTTAACAACCCTGCCTACAACACTCTTGGAACGTTTCACTTTCTCTGAAATCTCTCTAATGGTGTGCTTTTCCTTGTGTAGCTTCACAATAGCTTGTCTCACAGAGTAATCAAGTTTTTGGCGGTTCGCCATGGTGCCGGCTGATGCAACGTTTACAAATGACTAAGTAAGACTTATTCTTTAGAGGAAATCAAAAAATTTGAATATAGCATACTGTTTACATTGTTTTTCTCAATTTTGTCCCTTACTTTTGGACAATCCTATTTTGAAAATAAATAAATAATTGTTATAATTCTTTTTCTATCCTTTGCAAATGATTCAAATTTTAGTATGTTATTATGGATGATAACGACTACCAGTTGTCAAAATTTCAGCTTTTCACAGTTGTTATTTCTAACAAATATTAGGTTTTAACATTTTGTCCCTTAGTTTTGGACGCTACTGTAGTATTAAACGGACTCATGTCTAGCTTTTTAACTGTTGTAAAGGCTCTGTATCTCGACTTTTGACACTAGTATTAAACGGATCTCTGTGTAGTTTTTTAATGACTGTAAAAGTTACCCTGTCTCTCTATTTGACCTTCGTGTAAACCACACACATAGCTAGCTATTTATTAATTCACAGTGATTATTACCCCATAAAACTTACATTCAGCATGAAATAAGTTAATAAGGCTGACCAGCCTAAACACATCTACATGGAGTAGAATAAATTATTTAGTCGTTTCTCTCATCTCGATTTTCTATGAGTTCAGAAACCCATGTTTATCAATGGGCACATTTTATTTAACAAGCAGTAAAATTCTGGTTTGATTTTCTGTAAAACAACGTCCAATGCCATGATTGTTCAAGTCTGAAATACACCTGACGAATAATTTAATTAAGGGTTAAACTCAGGTGCATTCTTTCTGTTCCTATCTCTTCCCGACTTCATTCCACGCTGTATTATCGACTATGCGATTAGCGTAACTGTCTTCAGTGCGAAAATTGGAATCGGTGAGGCGAGTTCCAATTCTGCCTGATTCGGTTAGTCCAGAAAAGTATCAATCCGTTTTTTCTTACTTCTAGTTATGGGTTAAACAATAGGATAGCCTGAACTATTTAGCCTTGGTTGGCACCCAGTCTAGGAGAACATCAAATTCAAAACCATGGAGAAAGCACTCCAATATCTTTCCCAAATAAGTCATGAGAAATCAGAAATATTAAAAAAGGAAGACGTGGAGAGCCATGTATTGCTCGAATCTTAAGGAATTCAACATAAGAAAGAATATATTGTTGAATGATGACGACTGCTACTGGTAATAATCATGTTTTGAGATTCTAAGAAGAGTCGTTTTTATTATCATTTCTCATTTACTTCATTAGTTTTTTTTAGCATTTTGGTCGAAATATTTTTCGGCCAATAAACTAAACAGTAAACTCTTACATCGGGATGTGGCCCGAATTTCTGTCTCGCACATCAGAAGCTCGTCTTTATGGGTGACGCCATTTTATTTGTCTTTCTCGTACTGTCTACATTGAAACTTAAAGATGCTTAAAAAACGAAATATTTATCAATTATTAAAAGTCATGAAATTGTCAGAAACATTTATTTAAATCTTTAAAAATACTCAAAAACCAAATGAAATTTCAACCTTTTCAGTTGCACAGAGAAATGATTTCCTGTTAAGATTTCTATTATCAAAAAGGATGGTAATTAAAATCTATATTATCGCTGCTATTTCTAATGATTCAGACTCTCTCTCTCTCTCTCTCTCTCTCTCTCCTTTGTACATAGTTCCTACAATCTCTTGCTTTTTAACAAATATGTTCTTTTTCTTCTTATTATTATTATTATTCTTCTTCTTCTTCTTCTTCTTCTTCTTCTTCTTCTTCTTTTCTTCTTCTTCTTTTTTCTTCTTTGTCATTCATTTCTTATCTTCTTTTTCTTCTTTTTAATTTACCTTCTCATTTATCCTTCTTCTTCTTCTTCTTCTTCTTTTTTCTTCATCAATTATCCTTCCTTCTCTTCTTCTTCATTTTGATTCTTCTTCTTCTGCTTTTCTTTCTTCTTCTTCTTCTTCTTCTTCTTCTTCTTCTTCTTCTTCTTCTTCTTCATAATTCTTCTTCTTCTTCTTCTTCTTCTTCTTCTTCTTCTTCTATTTCTTCTTCTTCTTCTTCTTCTTCTTCTTCTTCTTCTTCTTATTCTTCTTCTTCTTCTTCTTCTTCTTCTGCTTCTTCTTCTTCTTCTTCTTCTTCTTCTTCTTCTTATTCTTCTTCTTCTTCTTCTTCTTCTTCTTCTTCTTCTTCTTATTCTTCTTCTTCCTCTGCTTTTTCTTCTTCTTCTTCTTCTTCTTCTTCTTCTTCTTCTTCTTCTTCTTCTGCTTCTTCTTCTTCTTCTTCTTCTTCTTCTTCTTCTTCTTCTTCTTCTTCTTCTTCTTCTTCTTCTTCTTCTTCTTCTTCTTCTTCTTCTTCTTCAAAAGTGGAGATAAGTATAAAAGATAATAGAATTGGCCTCCCGTGATTATCTTCTGTTACGTGAACATATATAGTGACTATTACGGCTGATAATGCAAGATTCTTCGGTAAAGCGAATCGAGTCCTCTCTGTCACTGTTTGTTTATCTAAAAAAATAAATACGCTTAAAATTCACCATCCCCTGCCGTACCTCAACTGCTTAGGGGTAAAAACACCGACTGACTCTAGGTGGGTTTCGATCCTAGCTAGAGCAACCGGACGTCTAGCCACACTGAAAAAAAGTCTGTCTGTGGGTGACTATATATATTATAATTTCATTATATAGCCAAACCAAAAAACAGATTACCCACTACAAAGATGCAACTTCGTTTCGGTGCATTTCAACTGCAACTCGACGGGTGCCATTGAAATGCACCGAAACGAAGTTGCATCTTTGTAGTGAGTAAACTGTTTTTGGCTATATGATAAAATTATAATAAATAAATAATTATCGCTCAACTATCGGTATCAAGCCCTCTTTTGAATTAATGCTGGGAACGTTAGAATTTATTTATTTATTTATATATTACTTTCGTTCTCATTGCATCGAATATATATATATATATATATATATATATATATATATATATATATATATATATATATATATATATAATATTATTGTAAATCAGAGAAATAAAAAAGAAACTTCTATCGTAGAAGAAGCCATTTCGATATTTGAAAATGATTTTGATTGACACGAGCAGACGTTAAGTTGGGAAAATAAAAGCATATAAAGAGAATTAAGAATGCTGAAAAAATGTATTAAATATCAAAAACCTACTTTGTTTTTGTCTATTCATATATAAGCTTTTTAATTTTTATTACCTTTCTAGTTTTCAGTGTGTTTGTCTGCGTGTGTGTGTATATGTGTATTTGTGTATGAAAATAGCAGAATTGCGTACCTAATTTTTATTTTCCTTTTTTTACTCATTGGCTTTGCCTTTTTATCAGCACTAGTTACTTCCACTCCGGTACCGTCCGTTATTGGTTTTATCTAGATATGTTTATTTTATCTAGTTTTATATGTAGAAAAATAGGTTTTATTTCTTGAACGGTGCCTGGTTGTTTTGGTAAGTGGTAGGATAACTCCGCTACTACCCTCACCGTCAACAACGCACTTTCTTATTTTTGTTGGTGGTGCTTTTCTTTTTTACCTTTTCTTTATTTCATATTTATAAAACCACCCTCTTTGTTCCGTCTTCCCCCATTACCCTCTTTATCCTTCAGTCTACATGTAGTCTTTCTTTCTTTCTTTCTTTCTTTCTTTGTTTGTTTCTTTCTTTTTACTTGTGTCTTCTTTTTGTTACTGTGTGGATCTTCTTCCCCCTCTTCTTATTTTACCTCTATATATACTTGTTGGCCTGTTTCCTCTTTTCACCCTCTCTCTCTCTCATTCTCTTACTCTCTCTCTCTCTCTCTATATATATATATATATATATAGTGATTTTCGAAGGGTAGCTCAGATGTGGCACAAGGCCGAAAGTAGGGGGCACCCAGTGAAAATCGAACTCACTACTCAGTGGTAATTGTTCTAGCGAGACAAGCTTGCTAACCATTACACCGCCGCGAGGTGCCCAAGATTTTCCAAGCGTAGCTTAGATGTGGCACAAGGCCGAAAGTATGGGGCATCCAGTGAGGATCGAACTCACTTTTCAGTAGTAACTGAATTGCAAGACAAGCTTGCTAACCATTACACCACGCTGAGGTGCCTCTCTCTCTCTCTCTCTTTCTCTCTCTCTCTCTCTCTCTATATATATATATATATATATATATATATATATATATATATATATATATATATATATATATATATATATATATATATATATATATATATATAGTCTATGATCGCCTTTATAATTTTCTTTATCATTTCTGTTGTTCTATTTCTCAGTTTACTCCTTCATATTCACCACCCATATGGTCTTCTTTTCTTTCTTTCTTTCTTTCTTTCTTTCTTTCTTCTGTTTTATTTTTTTTTCTGTTATTTTGACCCTGATCTTCTTCTTCTTCCTGATTATGCTTCCGTTTTAACAACATCAAACCATATTAATTTTAATGATACCATTGATTCTTGTAGATTCCTTTGCCGATTCTCAAAACCAACAACGCATCAGTTGATCTTCTCCACTTTGTCTCTTTTGTCGAGTTTTTTGTTTCTCTATTAAAACAATGTTACGGGAAACTAAGACAAAAACAATTTTTAACATCGACAATAACGATTCCTTACCGCAACCAATACTGTTCTTTTGTTTAATTTAAGTGTACCCACTTTCACACTGTAAACAGAAGCTTCTGTTTTTAGCATTATCCTTCGCACTATACATATCTACCGAACTGTGTAAGACGATGATCGTTCACTATGGCCATATTAACAACTAATCAATATTTGTTCAATTGAAATGATTATGGTACATAACAAAATAAATGGGGGAATAAGCAAATGGTAGAAAGGAAAATAAGTAGGGGAATAAGCAAATGATACAAAGGAAAAGAAAAGGGTAACAAATGGGGGAAGAGGCAAAAGGCACAAAGGAAAACAAATGGGGGAATAAGCAAATGGTACAAAGGAAAATAAGTGGGGGTATAATCAAATTGTGAAGCTCTCAAATAGTGAATAGTCAAGTTTGAAAAGGCTGAATTTTAAGGAAATCCTGTTCTTTAATATCTGTCTATATCTCTGAGATGAGGTGTTAAGATTATTTACATTATTTACAATATTCGAAATGTTATCCTCATCTTCATTGCCATATTCACAACGTTTCGGCCGTTGTGCACTCCGGCCTTTAAGTCTGTGTCTCTCTATATATTGTAGCGGACCGTGGCGGTGATGAGTATGTAAAACACACGTGAGTTAATTTTCCTGCTAACCGGTCCAACTAGATGAGAAAGTTGGACTTTAATAGTCCAAAGAAGGCTAGGAATAACAAACACAAGATAAATATGTGTGAACAAATATATATATTAACATATACAAGTTGCAAGCACATGGACAGTTGAGTGCGTGTGGTGAATATTATGTGTGTGTGTGTTGTGGTGAGTGTTCGTATGTACGTGTATTGTTCTTAGCGTGTTCCCAGCATTTGGGAAACGCTGTATCTGTGAGAGCTCACATCTGCGAGGTGGTAAGGCTGAAAGCCTGGGGCAAAAAGAGGAAGAGGCAAAAGGTCAGCCAGTATTTATAGCCTGGGGAGGGAGAGCCCTGGTGTAGGGTTAAGGAGCTAGGAGGAGCTAACTCCGACAATATCAGTCTATATCACTGAGAAGAGGTATTATGATTACTTGCATTATTTACATTATTCGGACATTTATGGCAATGAAGATGAGAATAACAGTCCAAATAAGGTAAATAAAGTAAATAATCCTGTTCTTTAAGTCATGAGGAAATCTTAATTTTTAATCGACTGGTAGTGTTTTTGAGTAAGAACTTTAAAAAATCCGTATAAATTATATTTTGTAAAGAATACAAATTAAACAGATTCAAATAATAGCGAACACATTATTGGAACATATTCAATTAATTACTCAGTTTCAGACAAAATAAAAAAAATTCATTTTATTGGAAATTATTAATAAGATTCCATATTCCTACCAAATGAAAATAAAATTTAATTAAATAAGAATTTAAAACATATATCAAATTATTAATTTGTAAAGTTTCTTCTTTTAAGTATGTATAGTTATTAGGAATTTTACGCCGTTCAAGTAATAAGCTTTAAAATGGTCCCTATCATTTTCTGATAAATATACGTGTTTTTTGTCACTACTACGGAGTCTGTGTGTGAAGACCGTAAGTAAAGGCAATAATGAACGCCAGAACTCGTGAGAACTCTTTTGTTTAAACTTCAGCTGTAGCTTGTGTAATCAACAAATGAATAAGTTTACAGATTAAATCACTCGAGTTCTATACTTGTATGATAAGATCCAAAGAAGAATCAGCAATAATATTGGGCCTGATCTG